TCATGATGGAAATTGTGCATACCTTGACCCTAGACACTTCAATGGCATACGTTCTAAACGGGATAAAAAATCGGATATATTTAGTTTTGGGGTGTTATTGTGGGAAATTTCCAGCAGAAAGCTTCCCTGTAATGGGCTGTTAACATACAATGAAATCCAAATCTATAGACTAAATGGTGGTCGTGATTCTCCAGTGTCAGGGACACCAGAAGAGTATATTGAACTATATCACCAATGCTGGGATAATGATCCTGAGAAACGGCCATCTTGTGGATATGTTTATGATAGCCTGAAGGTGATTGAGCAGCAGCAAATAGAATTGAAAGAAAAAAATACAGCACAAGAAACTATGTTTTCTGATGAGTTGTTAAATATTTATAACAAAGAAGTATTGAAAGGGAAAAATGAAGAACAAATTGCCGATTTTATTAGAAATTGGTTGATGGAAAATAATTATAATCAATATGAGACATTTAACAAAATTAAATGTCACAATGACAGTGGGTTATGTTTCTGGTTAACAGGATTGTTTTACAATTATGGAATAATGGTTAAAAAAGATCTTTATCAAGCAATTCATTGGTATCAACTATCAGCCAAAAGTGACTGCAGTATGGCAAACTGTAATCTTGCTTGGTGCTATGCAAAGGGGGCTGGAGTAGAAAAAGATGAACAGAAAGCTGTTGAATTATATCAGAAAGCTGCTGACCAAGGATTGGCCAGAGCCCAGTTCAATCTTGGTGACTGTTATGGGAATGGAATTGGGGTAGAAAAAGATGAACAGAAGGCTGTTGAATTGTATCAAAAAGCTGTTGATCAGGAGTTTGCTATGGCACAAAGTAATCTAGGTTGTTGTTATGAGGGTGGAATAGGAGTAGACAAAAATGAACAGAAGGCTGTTGAACTCTATCAAAAAGCTGCTGAACAGGGATTTTCTGAAGCACAATTTAACCTTGGTCATTGTTATGAAAATGGAGCTGGAGTAGAAAAAAATGAACAAAAAGCAGTTGAAATGTATGAAAAAGCTGCTGAACAAGGATTTGTCATGGCACAATATAATCTTGGTTACTGTCATCAGAATGGAATTGGAGTAGAAAAAGATGAACAAAAAGCAGTTGAATTATACCAAAGAGCTGCTGAGCAAGGATTTGCCAGAGCACAGTACAATCTTGGTTACTGTTATGAAAATGGAATTGGCATAAAAAAAGATGAACAAAAGGCTATTGAATTATATCAACTGGCTGCTGAACAAGAGAATGCTGAAGCACAATATAATCTTGGTTACTGTTATGAGAAAGGTATTATTATAGAAAAAGATGAGCAAATGGCAGTTGCATTGTATCAAAAAGCAGCTGAACAAGGATTTGCTGAAGCACAATGTAACCTTGGTTATTGTTATCAGAATGGGATTGGAGTAGATAAAGATAAACAGAAGGCTATTGAATTATATCAGAAAGCTGCTGACCAAGGATTGGCCAGAGCCCAGTTCAATCTTGGTGACTGTTATGGGAATGGAATTGGGGTAGAAAAAGATGAACAGAAGGCTGTTGAATTGTATCAAAAAGCTGTTGATCAGGAGTTTGCTATGGCACAAAGTAATCTAGGTTGTTGTTATGAGGGTGGAATAGGAGTAGACAAAAATGAACAGAAGGCTGTTGAACTCTATCAAAAAGCTGCTGAACAGGGATTTTCTGAAGCACAATTTAACCTTGGTCATTGTTATGAAAATGGAGCTGGAGTAGAAAAAAATGAACAAAAAGCAGTTGAAATGTATGAAAAAGCTGCTGAACAAGGATTTGTCATGGCACAATATAATCTTGGTTACTGCTATCGGTATGGAATTGGAGTAGAAAAAAATGAACAAAAAGCTGTTGCCTTATATCAGAAAGCAGCTGAACAAGGTTTTGCCAGGGCACAATGTAATCTTGGTTACTGTTATAGAAATGGGATTGGAGTAGAAAAAAATGAGCAAAAGGCTCTTGAACTTTATCAAAAAGCCAGTGATCAAGGATTTGCTGAAGCACAATTTAACCTTGGTTGGTGTTATGACAATGGAATTGGAGTGGGCAAAAATAAAGGGAAGGCTATTGCACTATACCAGAAGGCAGCTGAACAAGGGTTTGCCAAAGCTCAGTGTAACCTTGGTTGGTGTTATGATAATGGAACTGGAGTAGATAAAAATGAAGAGAAGGCTGCTATATTATATCAAAAATCTGCTGAACAAGGAATTGCTAGAGCACAATTTAATCTAGGTTGGTGTTATGAGAACAGAATTGGAGTAGAAAAAGATGAACAAAAAGCTGTAGAATTGTATAAAAAAGCAGCTGAACAAGAATATGCAAGTGCTCAATTTTGTCTTGGTTTGTGTTATGAGAATGGTGTTGGGGTAGAAAAAGATAAACCAAAAGCAGTTGAATTATACCAAAGAGCTGCTGAGCAAGGATTTGCCAGAGCACAATACAATCTTGGTTATTGTTATGAAAAAGGAATTGGTATAAAAAAAGATGAGCAAAAGGCCGTTGAGTTATATCAAAGTGCTGCAGAACAAGGATTTGCTGGAGCACAATTTGACCTTGGTTGGTGTTATGAAAATGGAATTGGGGTAGAAAAGGATGAACAGAAGGCTATTACATTATATCAAAAAGCTGCAGAACAAGGATTTGCCAATGCCCAGTACAAGCTTGTTAATATTAACAATGAGGATGGAATTGGAGTAGAAAAGAGTGAACAGAAAGTTACCCAATTGTATCAAAAGACTGTTGAACAAAACTTTGCCAAGACACATTATAACTTTGTATTTGGTCACAGCTATTATAGAAATGGAGTAACAAATGATAAGCAAAAAGCAGTTGAATTCTATCAAATGGCTGCGGAACAAGGAGATATTAAAGCACAATGTAATCTTGGTTGGTGTTATGAACATGGGGTGGTATTAATGAAAGATGAACAAAAGGCTGTTGAATTATATAAAAAAGCTGCTGAACAAGGATTTGCTAGAGCACAATGCAATCTTGGTGATTGCTATTGGAGTGGTACTGGAGTGGAAAAGAGTGAGACAAAAGCAGTTGAACTATACCAACAAGCTGCTAAACAGGAATTTGTTGAAGCACAATTTAATCTTGGTTACTGTTATTGGTGTGGGATTGGATTAGAAAAAAATAGACAGAAAGCAATTGAATTATATCATAAAGCTGCTGAAAAAGACTTTGTGGAAGCACAGTTCAACCTTGGTTATTATTATCAGAATGGAATTGAAGTAGACAAAAAGCTGTTGAATTATATAAAAAAGCAGCTGAGCAAGAATTTGTTGAAGCACAATTTAGCCTTGGTTACTGTTACCAGTATGGAATTGGAATAGAAATGGATAATGAAAAGGCAGTCGAATTGTACTATAAAGCAGCTGAACAAGAGTTTGCTATGGCACAATGTAACCTTGGTTGGTGTTATCAGAATGGGATTGGAGTAGATAAAGATGAACAGAAAGCTATTGAATTGTATATAAAAGCAGCTGAACAAGGATTTGCCAGAGCAAAATGTAATCTTGCTTGCTGTTATGAGAATGGAATTGGCACAAAAAAGAATGTACAAAAAGCAGTTGAGTTATATAAAAAAGCTGCTGAACAAGAAAACATTAGAGCACAATATTGTCTTGGTTTATGTTATGAGAATGCAATTGGAGTGGAAAAAGATGAGCAAAAAGCTGCTGTAATGTTGTATAAAAAAGCTGCTGAACAAGGGTCTGCTGAAGCACAGCTTAGCCTTGGTTTGTGTTATGAGAATGGAATTGGGGTAGAAAAAGATAAACAAAAGGCAGTTGAATTTTATCAAAAAGCAGCTGAACAAGGAATTATTAAAGCACAAGAACAGCCCAGGTCTAGTAATTTTATTAAAAATAATAACACATTAAATTTATCTTTGAGGAGACAGCTGAGCCAGATGAAGAATTTTTTCACAAAAAGGGAGTAAAGGGTATAGCCACTGTAGATACTAATACTAATACACTCTTTAATGCTTTTATCGTTTGACTTAAATTCAATTATATTTTTAGTATCAGTCATTTATACAATTCATGAGAGATATTTCATAATAATTATTTATTTCTGGTGTAAATTAATTTGATAATAAAATATTACCATATAGCTTTACCCATATTAATATGGCAATAATGATCTTTACTAGGCACACAAGTGATTTGATCACTACTTAACAAAAGTTGCAAATAAGCCTGAACACATAGATAAAAGAAGCTAGCTGCTGATCAAAACCTCCTTTATACTCTAGTACTAAGGTGCTATGGATATGGAATGGATGTTCTGACCCAAATTGCAATCTGATTCAATTCGAAATCGGGTCGACCCCAATCACAATTCGATTTGGGTTGGCCCAAATCAAAATAGGCTCAGAGTGATATTTATTCGACATAATCACATAATTTATGTATAACGGTTGGACAGATATCATCTATGTATGAACGACATTTTTTGAGAATAGTAAATTCTTTATTTCAGAAAACGAACGATATTTAATAAAAACTGACTATATGTTATTCACCTCTTACACGAACACTTTCCCGTTGAATTTGACTATGTGTTTGAGACAGTCGTATTTGGTATGCATGAAATCTGCTAGCTCAAAGGTCAGCCGTTTAGGGTTAGCATAGGTCGTCGACTTGTACAGTGCTACACGCATAAAAGTTGGAGCTCATGAAATGCCAGTATGTTATGAAAAATCGTCTGACTACCATAAATGACCGAGACGTTCAGTTAATCGTAATTTATAAATACAGCACCAGTCAACCTATAAAAGATTAACAAGTACCTTCATCACACAGAATCTTTACATAGACTTTCTAGCCACAGGCTTTAGTAATAGCTTTCGTTTCTCCCGTAATAAGCGTGTAGTAGAGTATGCGATAAGTACAATGTGTATACAACCGTTGTGTATAAATAATGTGACAACGTCGAAATAAATATCACTTTGAGCTTATTTGATCTGGCAATATGAAATTAATGTCAAGCATCGAAGCATTCGTGGAGAATTGCTATCAAAATAAGCAAGATCAAATGCCGTTAAGTTTTTAGTCCTATTAAATTGCAATATTATATATTAGTTAGATTCATAATAATGTTTGTCAAGATTAAAACATAAAAGTAGCTAACGTGTCGTTATAATTAATATCCCATTTCACAGGGAGAAGACTATAAACAATGTGCTTAGGGCAAATTCAAAAAAACTAGACAGTTTTATCAACCAACCGTCTTCATCGCCAGGCAATAAAGTGAAAGAAGCGCAGAAAATGGCAAAAGGTGTTATCGACTTCTACGCACTATTATTGTCTGATTTCTTTAATCTTTCTTCACCGTTCGAAAGGTTCACAAGAATACATTTGTTCCGCCCATTCCGACTCGGTCGCCGCTTGCTTTTTTTGACGAAAATTGTAATGGAGATGTGTGAATGTGTGAATGATATCAATGTCGCTGCTGAGGCTTCTGTTGCCTTGTCAACGCTTATGGAACAAACACGGTGGCGATTTGTAGAAGTATTATGTGATACATGGATTATGGGTATATAATTGATATTTGTATACTGTGGGACCGTCTGGTGCTCAACATAATTGGATATGATAGTTGTTTCTTACATACTTTATTTTGGGTAGATGCAAAGAACTTTTATTTGTTGGAAGACCGGACATTGGACCCAGATTACTACGATTCTGAGGGCCTTTCACGCATTCCATAAATATAATTCACGATGCGCAAATCTTATAGTAGTATAATAATAAATGACTCAAACGTTATTTCTACTGACGAATCTAATACTACCGAACGATTTATATGAAATGTACTGGTACCAAGTTGTTTGGTTCGGTTATAATTTATTAAAGCCATTCAAAAAACACGAAGGAAACAAGAAGACGTATACTTTTAATCAACACGTGTTTGTATTATGATTGGTCAAAATCCATCAGCGAGGGAAATTTTAATAATACACAGTGAAAGTCGATATAACAGACTGTTCGAGACCAGCGTTTTAATCCGGTTTATTGACGGTCCGTTATATCGATGGTCCGTTATATCGACTTCCACTGTGTACTGTTTTTGTATCAGATGAATTCTTTACTATAGCGCGAAATTCACTGTATTGAGACTTTACTATATCGAGGTTTGACTGTAATGTAACATAGATACAATTGTCTAAGTGGCCAGTTTTTTTACGTACTATATTTATAAATAGTCTCCAGTATTATTACATTTTCTTGCTTAATTTATATTTAGACAACCAACAAGTATAGATACTTTTGAGTAAAAACACATTAGCGATGTTACATAGTCACTCTCAATACAATAATCCCCGGATAAGATGTCACATTTCAAGTCAGGCTAATAAATCTCGCGATATAATTTTATAATGTGCGATTTATACCAGGCTTAGAAAAACGCAAACATCAAAACAATCATAATGCTAAAAATAAAAAGCAACTAAATTTACAATCTAACTGTAAACTGCCAAAATTACATGTCGATATTCAATAATTTTAAGAAAATAATCATCAACACGCAAATCGTGTAAATAATTACGCATTATCGTATAATGCATGCGTTGTATTTCGTCTTGGCTTGATTTCGTTCGTCAGATTCACACTCTTTGTAACGTCGGTGCAAATTATCATTATATTATTCGATTAGTTGGGAGTTACATTTTACTAACAAAATAATACTTGCAACAATTATTATTTTTATTCGGTTTGATAATGCAATAAATAACCAACAAATAGCTATAAATACTATGCATTTTCCGTCTTCTCTATTCACCATGACACAATTTATAACATTGCTTGTACTATTGTCAACATGTCGTAAGCAAGTTTTTGTTCCAGAATCTGCTCCGCTTTTAGCCTACCACTGAATCTAGAGTGGGCTATATATCACAGATCGAAATTGCTGTAGAAATAGTACTTTAAATTCGCGATCTGCAATAGTTACCTTCTCCGCCTAGTCTCCGATAATAATAACGACAAGGACATATTAATATAGTTTTTCATCTAATCGTAGTATAGCGATCTTGTTCTACCAAAAAATACTCTAGCCATATTTTGACATTTTCTTGAATACCAATATACCATATCAAGTTTATTTATTTGACAATAACATTTATCAGTCGTATAAGATTCGAGTTTCATCAATTACGATGCCAATTTTTTTCAGGGCTCGCACATTCGTCACCTTATTTCTCTGGAAATTGAAAAAGTCTTAGATGAGTACTCAGGATATCTAGTGTCTAAATAATTATTGATTGATAAATGTCGATATCACTGATAGTTTTATACTTAATAACTACATCTCTCAACTATCGCCTAGCTTGCAAGTTGAATAATAATAATTTCAAAGTAAAAACAAATATTCACTAAATCTGGCTACGTATGAAAACAAAACTTTTGCGATAATTGGAGTTTTATCACAAAAATTTCTTCCTTACCAACGCGACTTGTTTATTTTTCACCTATTCACAATTGCCTCATGGAAAATGGAAAGAAGAAAGCTAAGGCAGCTAATATAAGCAAGACACCCAGGACAACTAGTGCAAGCATCACTTCAACATCTCACATGGCTGAGACTTCTGAAACCTTTACCATGTCTGCTTCATCCTCAGACCTGCCACAGCCCATTGCCCATACATGCTTTGACCATGTTCAAACATACTGCTTATCAGCTTGTTCTCTCCATTTAGAAGTTGCAATGGCTGACCTAGTCACCCTGTTCTGTCTTGATTATGGTCAGCCAGTTGATAAAGCTTTTAGAGTTCAAATTGGGAGGACACAAGTTGAAGGAGCTCGTTATATATTAAAGACAAAAGAAAGCCATGCTTCAATGATCTTGCTACTAATTCCAACCGCCGAACAATTTGTTATCAACAATCGAGAAAAACACGGTTTAGGGTGCTCTCATCAGCTTACCTCCCCTGACAGATTTGGCAGGTAAGTAAGTTTAGGTGCTCATAAGCCCTTGCCAAATAAAGTGGAAAGATTTCTTTATTGTTTGATAAGTCATACATGTCATAGAATAAGATTGTAGTAGAGACAATAGTACGATTACTGAACTGACAATTACTATTTATGGTACCTCCCCTGCAGTGATTGCTAATTTTAGCAATTTCGATTGCCAAAATCTGATAGGGGAAGTAGCTGATGAGAGCACCCTTAATTATCAATCGAATATATCCATTTTTGTTCTGTCGGCAATAGCATTTTAAAACTTTTAAAGCACATTCCCTAATTTTATCAAAAATTGTGCTCTATATACTTAAGTAATAATTTCTTTCATATGTTCAGTACTAGTACCGACCGCAACCCATAGCTGAGAAAATTAACCCCCCTTTTTGCCGGCCGTAGTTCATTGTTTAGGGTTACCATATGCACGTGTTAAAATAGTAACAGGTGGTGTCTAATCACAGTGTGTAATATCACATTTCTTTTCATCGCCTTTGTATTGTAGCCTCGGTTACCATAGGCTACTTTCTATAAACATATGACTTGGACACCAATCTGTAACAATGTCTGCGATATCTACGATGCTATCCGTTTGTAAGTATATCTACCACCGAAGTGTATTCTGTAGATAGGTCTACAGCGTGACATTAATACAATAACTCTTCAATTTGACACTTGAGCATTCGATTGAGATACGTATAAAACATGTATCATCATAATCATTCTTGCGTATACTAGTTACTGAGTACATAAAAGCATAAGCGCAACCATACAATCGAGACAGAATAAAGAAGAATACGTGGTATACTGATAAGTTATAAGCAAACCGTATAGTTTAATGGTGCTTTTGTGAGTGTAAATAATATTTTCAAAGACTTTCATAATAAGAACCGTTTTTCATTTTTATTTGGATTAGAACCCATTGATTAATTCAATTGCAAATTGATATTGCAAATTGATATTGTCAAATCCGTCTACCGTTTAGTCTCATACTAATACACTCGGTGTCTTCGACTGTAATTGGGTCAAAAACCGTTTGGGACAATTTTATTTCGAGGGAGTGAATTAGCTGGGTGAATATTTTGATCTGCGGGTCTAATGGGCACGACATTTTCGCTGTTGTGATTGGGAACACAAAAGCCGATTATGGTCTAGTCAATGATGCATGCATAGATGATGCCATTGATTATTAACAGATTTTCGCACAGCATATCAATTTCGATTCTGTAACCCACATAGAAATACCAATCATATGGTTAGTTTGGAATGTCACCACGTATATGCTTTGTTCTCACTTACGTATTAATAATGAATTATATCTACTATTGGTATAACTGGCAGAAAAAAGGTACATTTTTAATGTCGTTCAACGTGAGCTAAAATAGAAAGGGGTTTCTTTTCTGGACAAAACGTAGTCAGAAATATTGTTTCTATAATACTTAGATTCGTTTCTTGATTCAACCGATCATTGCAGTATTATAATTACGCACATTGCTTACAAATGTCCAAAAAGGGAAAGTTCAATAGTAGATTACACAAATTCAAAAAAATATTCTCGTGATATTTCAACACCGAAAAATGCAAGTAGGCGAAGGTAAAATCATACTGTTGACTCTGCCCATAAACGATCGACTTACAGTTACCGTCTTATTAGATTGCAATACCGTTAGCTATGAAATTATACTGCAATTCAAATTATCATTCTGAAATTTAACCGTGCATTCGGTCTTTAATAGACAGTGTATAATTTGCAAACTGTGACATTCATAATATGAATTTATGCTCGACTGAACGTATTTCTTTATCACAATAACATTGTTTGTTCATCGCATTCAAAATACGAGATTGTCATACAGCGTGATACAGTGTGTTCATAGCCGGATATGTTGCAGAACAATTGTTGTCAAAATTGTATTCTGTTACTTTACAAATAACTTTGACTGACTGAACGAACGATTATTACTATTCGGATATAAAACCTGGTGGCTTTATATAGTTTATCAAACTGTTGATATATATATTAATGCTCTACATTCGCTGTTCAAGATGTAATAGCCCAAGTAATCTTTTTCCCATAACTTTCACGATCACGTTCATGCCAAGAAATTGTTCAGTGATCGACATTGATGGATGCATATAATTGCATGAGATGAACATTGTTTAATGCTTTCCCTAATGAGTAGTAAAATCTTTTGCAAAGATAAGGAACCCCGCTTGTGAATAGCAAGCGCGGACTAGTCACAAAAAGTTAAAAGAAAATTTGATTTTCGTTCGTTTTTTTTTTTGCCCGATCGACGGGATAAATCTCAAAACTTGCAAGCATGATATCATACAATGCATCATAAACACAGACTTTGTTTGGTTTTTAATAATAGTGTACAATGCATCATAGACATTGGTGTGTTTGGTGTGCCTAATACTCAAAGTTAGGCTGCAGTGTTCCATAAATATTGGATGCAGGGTGATTAAGTAACGATGGAGAAATATAAATACAGCTTTGATTCCATCATATTGTAGCTCTGCTGTGGCCTTCGAACAGTTTACTTTGTCTTATAATGTCAGAAAGTGACAATAAAGCCGCTGTACCGGTGGACACACCTCGCAACGACCAAGCTAATGTTCAGCGCGAATCAAACCGAATCAAGATCTTTCGACGCATTTTCTACTGGGCAGTTCCAATTGCTTATGTTGCATATGTGGTCTATTTGATATACAGTCTTGCAACGGATTCATATTCGTTAAATTCAGAGCATAATTTTCTGAATGAAATTGATGTTCCCGGTTGGTATTAATACTTTTTAAAGCCCACGTTATCATTAATATTAAGTCATGGTAATTGCAAAACACTAACAACACCCTCAAAATGCTTTGATTAGATATATTGATTTGTGGAACTAATGATCTGATAATATCACGCTGCGACTTTGTATGGAAGGACAGCGGCGGCAACAGCTCAAAGACTCAGCTTAATGGGTGTGGCGAATATATCCTTCCTGGTACACTAAATTTGGGTGGTCGCCTTTCGTCCTGCCGCACATTTTCAACCAACCAAACACTCAAATATGCTCATCCTTACGAGCCCGTATCTGGCTTGACAAGATTGGGCATTTATCTCCAAATTCCAAACGTTACTGCCGCAGAACAGGGTAATATTGGTATAGCTTCCCTCAATGTCGTTTTATTGCCGCCTGGATTCAATCCACTAGCAAATCCGGATCAGGTTGTTGATGAAATGGACAAAGATGTCAAGTCGGAAATGCAGCTGCAGTGGGATTTCATCGCTGGAATGGTTAATTATGTTGCCTTGGTACGTGTTTTTTTTTTTCGTTTCAACGTCGAATGAACTAGTTTATGGTTAATTTATATTATTAATTATTTTCTGATTATATTGCAGGTTAAATTCAAAATAAGCGAGTACAAGGCTATTTTGCCCGATGACGCTTCCGCCATCATGGGGTAACCATTTTTTTTATGCGATAAAGCCATTTGATTTACTCGAACCCATCTAACAGTTACTTTCTTTCTTTTTTTAGATTTGGACCAAAGTATCACATTACCCCGAAAATCCAAAATTCGGTGACATATTTTCCATTTAACCAAAATCCATACAATGTACCGGCTGGATCCAACGTCTACTTTTCCGTAGCTGCCGGAAGTTTTGTACAGGAAGGACAATCTGAGGAGCGGTAAGTTAATATTATTTGACATTACTGTTTTGTTACTTCAAAAGTATCGGTTTTGTGCGTGTGAACAGTTTATTTATATTGTAAAAAAAAAAAACACCTTAATTTCAGAACCATCACCGTTCTCGATGCTCTTGCAGCAGCTGGTGGAGCATTTGGTTAGTATATTCAAAGTGCTGAATTATCAAAGCGAACAAAAAAAAGGCAAACACTTAACCGTTTTATTTTTATGTTTTACCCAATTTATAGGTATCATTGGAGGCGCTTACGTATTATTCTTTGGGCAAGACCGTATAGAAGCATTTGGTTACGCACACAAGTTTGCGGATTCAGACAGCATTGTAGGAGCCTCGTTTTTCCGAACTGATTGCCACGCAGAGAAACATGACAGCGCTAATAGTCTGGATGCACAAGTACTGCAACTTCATAGCGATGTAAACACGATCAAGGATGTACTTAGATGCTATGTGCTAGATACATCTTATTTAGAAGAGGGACCTCAATGGTTTGCAGATACTCGAGCTAAAATAAGTCTTGTATGTCAAAAATTATGTTCATGTTGTAGAAGAAGAAATAATCAATAAATTACTTAATATTTAATTTTGAAATACGTATTCAAATATATTGTTGTTATCCGTCTCCGTTCTATAATGTAGTCTGATTCTTTTTATATTTCTCTATGTTGAATCCATATGGTTATTGTATCAAAAACAATATTGTTTCCAGAAATAGATTAGCATTTTATTTAAACTTACCGTGGTTGTAGATCCATAATGTCTGTTCTCATATTAATAAATCCAACGGGGTGTGTGAATAATAAATGATAGTAGATTCCTTTTTGATAACTTGTGTAGCATTAACCCACTTAATGGTGGTTGCTGTATTCGTTTCTCCACTCTTATTGATGCAACAGACGTTTTTCGTTAGGCTTATTTAATTTATCTTGGTCAATTAAGGAGGCCTGCCGGGTTGTGCTCTGCGGCATGCCGCTACACATAACAGATCATATTTATACGGTTTAACAAAGATGGGTTTATAATAAGTTTTCTGGAAGGGGTTTGTTTATTTACGTATAGAAAACTGGTAGTCGAACGAAATGTCAAATTACAGAATTTATATAACATCGAACGAAGAATAACGATTTGTTAAACTCATTAATAAAAAGAAAAAAATTCAGTTGTACAACTTTCTCTCCATAACGAAATGATGTTACATAATGAGTTCAGTATAACGTATAATCCGCATTTAACGTAGACAATTAGTGAACAGGAGTCAAACTTCGTTTAACCAGAGTCCATGACACTCTTACATAAAATATGCTCGACTTCAATTTTGTTCGGGATTTGTCCATAAGCCTACGCGCACAGATGATTAGTAAATGCACAGTACACGTCCCTTTGCAATTCATTGAACAACATGGGCAGCGTGCACGATTACCTACTATATTACCTAAGAAATACCCCTTAGAATTTTAAGTTACACTACATATCAAATATAAATTTTTAATTTCTTGTAGAAGTTGAGTACTCTTTTACTAAAGAATTGCTGCCATGACCGACAAGGTAAGAAGACAAGTAAAGAATTAATTATTTTTAATCGATGCTGTCTCATGATTTTATTTTTATGAAGAATGAAAACGTGAATGCGATTGGAATGGGTGCTACTTTGCATACGTTTGTTCCAACGAACCTTGTAAACCATAAAGGTTTCCCCAAGCTTCTACTCGGACTAATCGAACAAGAACATACTTCAGCAGATGCACAAATAAAAAAATTGCTTGAAGAAATTGAATATCCAGAAAATCTGTATGCATTGAAATACGTAGTCGAATGCAATGGTGCTTTGGTATCAGAAGAGCTACTGGAAAAGGCTATACAGCAATTGATTCGTAACACGTCTATTGGTATATATTCGAAAGAAACTACAATCAAATTGGAATGGCGTTTGAGAGCCATTATGGCCATTCTCGAGCAGATGTTTCAGAGAGGTTATCGGCTTGATCATCAATTACGTGGCGACATTGAAAAAGCCATTCTTATCTTCAAAAAGAACAACAAAAAAATTACAATCGTCGACAAAGATAGTATACAGAATACACGGAGAGCTGAATTTACGGAATTTGGTGCTCTGGATGATAAGAGTAATAGTCAAGGGTTTGGATGTAATTATAATAACAAATATCTTCTTAAAATTGTAAAAAATACGTTAAGCAGCCTTCAAGACGATACGAACGAACAGCAAACAAATGTAGATCGCGCCGTCGCAGTATTAAAAGCCTTGCTTGTTTCTCTTGCTGGTTTAACTCAAATTGGGATTAAAGCAACAACTGGACTTGAAGTGTCTCTTGGTAGTTTTGACTTGAAAAAAGCATGGGACCATCTTGTAGAAGCATTTCGAGTGGAACCTTCAAGGAAGTTATGGTATACAACTTGGAGAAACTTGTTATATTGCAAAAGGATTCTTGACAAATGGAGTCAAGAAAAAGATTCTGGAATTTCAACAATTTTTAAAGAAAGGCTGTTTCTTGAATTTGTTTGGTTTCATATCAGTCTGTGTTATGCTGATGATGCTACTGAGACTGAACAAGTTAGTGATATACTTTGGTTTGGCCTTCTAGATATTGTCCAACAACTTATCCCAACAACTCTTTTCCCAACTATACATGCTATTTGCTACTACATTGCATTAGACTCTCTGAACAATGCAGTCAGTGAGTTTATCCAATTTAAATCAATTGAAGTCTTGCTGAGTCTTGAAGCTAGAAACAAGGAATTGTTTGTTACAGCACCTGATGATATTGCTGGCTGTGATGAGGAATGCATACCAAGGCTGGTTGCTATTTACTATTACCTGAAAGAAAAATTAAAAATGGAATCGGAAATGCTTTTGAAATATTTACCAGCCAAAGCAGAGACAAATACCCAAGATGAGAAAGGCAAGGGAAAAGCAAAGTGTGATGAAAAAAGTCTTGCTGACTATATTACAGAAAATTTCACATGTGCAATTACTTGTGAAGCAGTTGGTGACTTGTATCAACTTAGTTGCCAACACTTTATTAGTTCCAAGGCTCTTTTACAATTAGAGAAACCAGAGTGTCCTTACTGTAGAAGCAGGATCAGGAAAAATGAAGTTTATTATTTGCCACAGCAAACAATATATAAAAACATTCAGCATTATATTGCAATGAGCCAAAATGAATATCAAGATATTAATGCTGAAGGTAACTCAGTTTCAAGAATATTTGAAGGTCATGATGATCCTAAAAAGCTAAAGAGAAAAGGCAGAGCACGAAAGTATGATACGAGGTCTACTTGGAAGTCAATATGGAAAACATTAACAGCATCAAACATAAACAAGTTACTTCAAAAAGCTAAAATTGCATATGGCAATAGGGATATGAAAAAAGCTCTGAATGTCTACACACAAATATTACAGACTGACTCTACAACTTATACTGCACTAGTTAATAGAGCATTTATCAAGTTAAAGATGAAAAATATTGAAAAGGCATTGTTTGATATTGAGACAGCAATTGAAGTAAACAGGTTTTATGATGAGGCTTGGTTTTTGAGTTTAAAGGCACATGTTAGCATGGATAATATGAAAAAGTCTGAAAATGATATTAGGCATATTAATACTCCACATTATCAAGAATTAGCATTTGATGTAATACATGATTTCTTTGCAAACAAGACTGAACAGTTTGATATGGATTGGTTTAAAGTTTTTGTAGACAGTCACCCTGCCAAGGCAATGTATGTACTATATGATGTTGAACAATGGAAAAGATTGTTTGGGCACCAGTTTAAACCAGGTGATTACACGAAATGGTACAATGTTGCTATAGATTGGTATACAACATATTGCAATGCCCCACATAATCATACAAAAACAAAGGCCTTTTTTGAAAAAGTTTGCTATATGCATAAAAGTAAGTGTTGCAAATGGATTGCATAATATTTGATTGCATACTAATATATGCTCATTATTTTTTTACAGGTTGTCTGAAAGCACATTTTACTTTTGAAAGTTATATTGGAACTATTGACAATGTCACACAGTATGTAACTTTTTATTAAAGTATTCTGTTTTGTAGTATAATATCACTAACAATTATATTTAATACTGTAATAGTAATTGGAGATGTTTGACACTTTATGGGAATAACCATGTAAATGTTTAACCACTAAGACAGCAAGATGATAGTATTAGTATGTTTACAATTTTGTGTAATACTAAATATAACCAATAATAATATGTAAATTATATATTAGTTAAGAATACCTATATTCCAGGTACCTCCAAACAAATACAAACTTAGTATTTTGTTGTGCAATTATTATAAAAGTTCATTGACATTAAATATCTCAGTAAGTATTGGATGGCCATCATTAATTACAGTTTAATTGTATAATAATATAAGCATTTAATTTTGTAGACAACAACAACTGAGCAAATACAATATAACATGGATATTGAGACGAGGCACACTAATGCTGAATATATTCTACCATGTGCAATAAACATTTTATCTGAAGGGAGTATTACTATAGAATTTGACATTACTTGTGTAAGTATTGTTATTTATTCAAAGTTAATTGTAAATTATTTTGTCAATGATTCTTATCAAAGTTTTTTTAGGCACACATAACTTTTTATTGGATCTGTCTGTATCCAGAGGAAAAGTTACCAACTATGGAAAGTACTTTAAAAATCGAAACACTTTCAACTGGTGTTAAAATTATGGATTATGAGCAATTTGATTATCAGAACAATTATTCCATACTTCCCAACATTGTACTTTAAATAGAACTATAATAAAAGAACTAGTTAAAGCATGACACACAACTATTATAAAGTTGTTTCACATCTTCAAACACATGTCGAGTAGACCTCAGCTTTGGTGCTCACAGCAGCACTGTGAAGGCTTTATAAATTAAAGAAATAGGGGATTGTCCTTTGTCGGACTAGCTTACACCTGGGAGAGCAGCGGTGTACTAGCCGTTTTGGGATTTAGTTCTTTTCCGGCGGAAGCTTTTGCTCTTCCTACTTCAAACCAATTAATGCTAGGATTTATACTCACAATCTGTAATATTGATCTTGTATACGCCGTTCCTGGATTATTGTTTAATCTCGAGATTCTCTGCGATTTCTTTGATGGGATTAATTTCAAAGCCTATCGAAACGGGTAATTGTACTATCTAATTTGTTAACAATAACCCCTTGGATGCAAAAGCACTAAATAGGATTAATCGGCAAGAATCAATTCTATTTACCGTCGGCGGGAAAAGTGATTTACACTTCACCAACGATACTAAGTATCTTTTATCAGGGAATAAACAAATAATAAAGTTTATAATTAATTCGGATTTTTATTAGAATAAACTAGATTGCCATTTTTTGTATAACGCGCGTCCCACCTTTTTTCTCATTAAACATTCGATACATCTTATTTCCAAGTAAAAGGTTGACAGTCATATTCGCTTTTCCTGAATTAGTTCGTCCACTGATCAATAAATTGAAAGGCCATTGGAGTGTTCTTTTTTTATTTGCTACACCATCTCGATATTTAATGCTAGCTCAACCAACTTCTTATTTGATCACTCTTTTAATAACTTGTGGAAGAATATCATTTACACAACGAAATAAAATTTGTAATGTTGACCCACATAGATTGTCTGAAAAATTTTTTCGGTTACGCCAGATAATCGGGAATTTACCTGCCATGTCGCAGGTCGTGCAGCTCTAATATTACCCCTTCATTGGACACTCAGATGGCTTCTCCTCCATAAATAGAAATATTATGGACTGTACAACGTGTCGGGTTGTGCGACCTGGCAGGTAAATTCCTGATAATTTACGCCAGATGCTAGCTACCAATTATTTTGCGAGGCAATGTTTGTTGTATTGGTACGTTTAACGTTTGATAATACGAAATTAGTTATCAAGGAGTAACAAGGGTGGTCTGGCAACTAATGAATAATTGGCCGAACTTGCGAGAACAAAAGTCTATAAATATGCATGCAATGGGGTCTAAACGATAAACTTCAATCTGCGATTGGCAACTTCCAGCTTTTATCAGATTTACCGTTTTACTTTTAAAAGCCTCTCAAACTTGAAATGGAGATTAAACGCTACCGCGCTAAACAGCGAGATTTGAATTCTCTTCTTCGTCATATTGTGTTTTTCTCACTCATTTCACTTGCAAGAGCGTCTATTGTCGATGACTCTTATTCGTCGCACCAAGATTTATACGACACAATTCTTAACACGCTTTTCCCAATCACCTTTGTCGTGCTGTTAAAAGTCTCGGAAAAACGTGGTGGAGGAGATAATGATGCTCGAAGTGATAAGGATGTTCGAAGTGACAATGATGCTCAAAGTTTTTCGACAAAAAATATTCTGTTGCCACTACTGGACGATGTATTGTACAATACAGTTACTTGGATCATTCCATTAACGGTGTCATTTGCCTATAACGATTCGCTGGCTGTAAAAATATTTTCAATTGTAAACATGTGTTTACATGTTATTTGTGCAATGGCTGCATTAATCGAATGGCGGAAAATTGGTGATGTCGATTATGATGTTTATGATGATATATGGACTGGCATAGGACTTTTTTTGGCGTTTTCCCCCGTTTTAGTAATTCCAATATTCTGGATTACTTACTTGGTGACCAATCACATGGTTGCTTCAATTAACTTACTATTTATTGTGTTGTTTGGGATCTCAATACCCATTGTTCTTATAATCATGTCCGATTGTGTTAAAGCTAATAAGACAACCAATACGCAAAACCATTGATCCTGATACACAGAACACCTCGTTCTTGATACACTTGCTGGGGTCATACCCCAAAATCAATTTTTCCTGTGACCCCGTTGTTATTCCGCAATATTATTGGTCTGAACAATTTTGATTAATCCCCAGTTTTATATTGGCCATTTG